ATGGTCAGTCCCTATGCCTGCAACCCAGTCAAGCATGACCCGGCATAACGTTCACGCTGTCTTCTACACATGTGTTGAGGCCGAAGATAGGCAAGAGGAAGATGCAATGACACCCAGTGTGGCATTCCATGCGGACGACTACAGCGACTCGTTCTTCCCAATCAGAGCTGATACCATGAAATCAATCGATACCCAGGTTGATGGCAATATGGGAGACATAGTGCAGAAGCTGGATAGCTTGGATGATTTCTTCGATGATACTGATACAATCACCCCTGCGCTGAACCCTGTAGCTCCTCCGATGCTGCGAGGGTTCACTGGTAACTACGTGGATACCAATGCACATCTATACGACCAGCAGACCGCGCCAATTTTGCGGAAATCACTCGCTCGGACAGGTTCTACATCGTCCTTCCATAATGGTCTCGCCGAATCTCGCCCTCCCAACTTCCGCTTCGACGGTCCGGGTGTGTACTCCCCGGCCACGGCGATACCTCCAAACACCTCACAGATACTACGATCTGGTTCCCACACCCGCTCTGTCACCTCCCCTGCCAACAATCTCTATGTCCACACCGCTTCTAATATACCCAATACCACACTTCCCGTTGGATTCAGCGATTCCGCTTTCCTGTCCGATGAGGATCCTGACGAGGTGCATTCGGATCTAGAGGAACGCCCGGTGACTAAGAAGATGATCCATCCACCTGCACCCATGATTCGCAGTGCAACTGATGGACCACACTCCTTGGAATCAATGATTCGAAGCGGCATGCGGAGGCTGACTGGTGGCGCAGCCAACAGAGAAAAGGAGCGACAGCGCGACCTTCTCCGCGCACAACACCGCGCCATGGTGCAAACGGCTAACTCTCCTCGTGTCCCAAAGGTACCCGAGGAATATCTCTCAGCACCTACCAGTCACCCGGCATCACCGAGATGAAACTTACATACATCTGGCCCTACCTTTCTACTTTGTCGTTTTGCTTTTTCTTTTCCGTTGTCAGTCCTTTTTCCAGGCTGCCTAGGCATTTCTCGGGAGTTTGGATCACTTTACATACATACCCTTTACTCGTCCATCTACAACATACTTCGCGATTGATCTTGTCTATCTAGCGTTGATCCGCGCCTCTGCATCCTGTACAGTCCATGTAGTCACATCATGGAAGTTGATGGACTTACATATTAGGTGTTTTGCATTTCGATATCAAAGTCTACATATTTGCATCTATGATAAAGTTCCAAGGTTATCAATCTTTATCCAAGCAGCACACTAATTAGGGGCCTTTTCTGTATCTTTTTCTAGAGCCTACCTTCCATTCAATGTCCAACATGTATAAAGATACATCGATCAGACCAAATTTTGGGTATACATTAATACTGCTCCCTGCTTGGGCTCGCGGGTTGTATAAGGTTGGGGAGCACTGTGGTAAGGATTTCTCGGTGGTTTACAAGTGATTGCAGGAGAAGTCTCAATAAGAGTTCTTTCTATTTTGAGTGAAGTTTCCTCGTGAGTATTTTCCTCTGGATATTTCCCCCCATTTCAGTACCTACTGCTCTTTCTTCATGGACATGATTTTAGGATATCAAACTGTTACGATTTAGCATTCTCCTCAATTTGTTCAAGTCTAGGATTTCCATGTGTCTATGCCTTCAGAGCATACGCAATATTTCCAACATCCCAACATTCTAGGTACATGGGCATATATAAAAGGTTGTCTTTCTACCCATGTGACTTCCCTTTTCCCTTTCCCACCATAGCTCCTTCTCTTCCTATCGTTACGCTCTTTCGCTCTTTCCTCATCCAACTCTGTCATTCTTTCTGGGATTTCTCTTCTGCATCTCATCCATTCTCATCCTCCCATCCCATCACCCATCCCCATCCCCCCATTTACTTTGCTATCGGTCTCATCCCGGGCCCATTTATCCCATTTTCCATTTCAAGGCCATCCAGACTTTCGTTGCCGTATACCTCATCCCCACGTATCTCGTCTTCGCTTCGAGTTATCATCAGACGCCTTGCAGCCTGACGGCAGGCTGCATCCTCGACAAAAGGTAAGCCTTCCACTCAATTTTGGTCATATTCAACTACCACCTCAGTCTCCGTTTTGGCTGACCCAGGCATGCTTGGACAGCAGTCAGACTTTCTTGTCAGAAGTGTCTATATAATTTGGTACAGGAATTCAGGTTAGATATCCCTGCGATTTTAACACATTCTATTGGGGCATTTTGCCAACTGGAGGCCAACGGGGTTGCTCATCAAGCCCTTTTTCTTTACATGTCCGGAAACATCGAAGAACTAGCTGACAAAATTGATATCTATCAGTGTATGCCCTTCATGATGCACGCCCAGGGGTCCCAGCATAGCTCCTCTGGTTCTGGTCAAACATCAAGCTCCCAGTCTGGTCACTACCACCAAAACGAGCCTCGTACACCGTGTGGCCCCAGGTACCAGCAATCCACCAATCCGAGTTCCCGTGAAAGCAGCGTTGCAAGCCTGACCAATCTTTTCAGAGGATTGAATCTGCAGAATGCCCGTTCTAAGTTTAACGGCCCAAAGGGCACCGCGCCCGTTCAAGTGAACACAAACATGGACTGGTCAAATACCAACCGTGCGTACAACAGCCCATTTATCCTGGTTCCTAATTCTACCGTCTTCAATGGCGTTCCGACCGTCTCTTCATTTGTTCCCAACGGTGTCTCTAGTCAGACCGATCAGATGGGCCAATTTTCCTATCTTTCAACGGGAGTTTATCCAAATGTCAACCCTGTGGTGGCTGGCGGATATTCCTCGTGGCCATACATGATGAACTACGACATGAATGACGGGACTGCCAACAAGCAAGCTGCATGGAATATGCCTGAAGGCCAGAAGGAAGTTCAAGCGGAGAACACTGGTCAGATTCATTACTATCCCTCAGCCCTTGTTTCCGGAATGGATGGCGGGTCCATGTCTGGTTACTCTTATGGAGGTATGCTTCCCTCCCAGCTTGGGGCGCTATCGCTTCCCCTCCAAATGATGAAGACCCCAAACGGCTACGTGGTTCAAGACCTGGAGGCTTTGACTCAACAAGAGCCTCCCATCCCACGCGCGGTGCCTGCCATGTGGACCAACCCATCTGAGTTGACACTCGCCAAGTGTCTAGAGAATCGCGAGGGTATAACCAACGTCTACATCCGAGGATTTCTGCCCGAAACCACTGATGAGATGCTGCATGCTTATGCAGCCCGTTTCGGAAAGATTGAGCGTTGTAAGGCGATCGTGGACCTGGACACCAGTCTTTGCAAAGGGTACTTGATCCACGAACCTTCTTTTCGATGATTTATTCTAATATTTTTGCAGATTCGGTTTCGTTCAGTATTACAGCTTCGAATCCTGCGAGAATTGCATCCGCGGTTTCTTTTACCTCGGTTACCAAGCTAGTTTCGCCCAGAAATCTCGCAACTCTCGCCTGAAGGATCTGGAGGACAGGTCTTCTACCAATATATACTGTACCAACATTCCAATTGATTGGACTGAAGCTGTGAGTTATACAAACCCTACCTTTTACCCATCCCATAGATTTCTTATAAGTTTGTCAGGATCTGCGTCGTCACTTTGAGCCATGGCGTGTCGTTTCGGAGAAAATCAGTCGCGATGAGAAGACAGGTGTGAGCAAGGAAGTGGGCTTTGCACGGTAACCAAGCCACTTGCTCATTATTTGTTCTGACTGAAGACTGAATCTTGATTTGCAGTTTCGAAAACCGTGATGTTGCCGAAAAGGTCCTGATGGAATTCCACAACGTCACCAAGGACGATGGGGTAAAATTGCTTCTACGCTTCGCTGATACCAAAGCCCAAAAGATTCTAAAGCAACAGAGCAATGAACGTCGCGCTTACCGTGCCGGAGAGTACAATTACTCGGTTGAAGTGGTGCAAGGATCTACTCCATCCCCTGGGGTGAAACGTGGCTCTCATCTCACTCCAAACTCTCAAGTCAGCTACACGTCTCCAGCTGGAGTGGGCTCTAACTGGACACCGGCAACTTCGATATCTCCTTGGTATGTCCGAATACTTAGACTGCATCGCAAGCCATCCCATTCTAATTGACCCCACAGCCACCCACACATGAAGAATAAATCAAGCAGTGCACGGAGTAGTTCCTTGTCGTCTCGGAGCCTCAACGCCCTTGACCACACGCCCGCCTATCGCAGTCGAGCCTTCTCCCTGAGCCGTCGCTCTTACACTGATCTCTCTGGTGGGTCTTCCAAGACTGTCATGCCAGACTCGCCGACTATGGAGGCTTGCAAAGAGAACATCAGAGCGGGATCTGTATCCCCCGCCTCTTCTTCTCCCATGATAATCCTCTCTCCGGCTCGCTCGTGCACTTAAGCTTGTCGTGCAACATGCTCCCACGCATCTCTGTCTTTGCATGGGAAGCTCCATATCATCTTATCACCTGGGGTAAGATTGATCAACACCTTTTCAAGGTGCTCTCCAATATCCAAATGCGCAGCATCTGTTACCATTCGCAGAATGTATCAACGATGTATGGCTCAGGCTCAGCCTTGCATTCTTTTTAGAATTGTTCCACGATTCGCAATTCATGATTCACGATATGATATTCAGTTGTTTTTCTGTTTTCGAACATTTGCATTATTGTTATACAACTCTACACGGTATTATTACGGAGTTTGCTTTGCATTTTTATGGAGTTCGATGGGAGGATGGGAAATGCTTTTTTTTTTCCTTTCGCAGTTATATGAACTACGCATGTTTTCAGCAATATGTGACAAGATGCATGTTTCAAGACTTCGTTCAAAGAACGCTATCGCACCTTAATGAGTTGGTTGCGCAGTCTAATATGATATTATTCAAGACCAAAACTACTCCACATAGGTGTCCATGTTCAAGATCCAAGGTGCGCGAGCACAACTGTAACGCGCAAAGCAATCTATCCGAAAAGGCCAATGAGATATAAATCTCAATCTATACACAGGTAAGACAATCCACACTATTCAAATCATTCGCGCCCAAGTCTCTCCTCCAGATCCTCAGTGAGCTGATAAGCAGGAAGATACTGTTCATCAGCCCCAACCCGCAATCTCGGATTAGGATGCGTATCAGAGGTACCGCCAAGACTGGTATAACCCTCGTCATAGAGCGAACAATACCTCAAATCCAGATGCCGAATAAACGCCCAAATCTCCGCATAATGCCAATCAATCACGGGATGCACGCGCACAAAATCAGGCCACCCCCCATCTGTCCGATCAAAGTGCGTCAGCTGCGCACCATGCGGATCAGTCCGCCGCGTACCGACAAATATAGCCCGGATACTAGGGTGGCGCGCCAGATAATCCTCAAAGCTAGACCGGAGTGTAGAATCCGGCGGCGCAGTAGTGTACTTTGTTATAGCGAGGTGATAAGCTTCAGCAGAGGAAACGACGAAGTCTTCGACGGCATCGAAGGGATCAGGGGGAAGCGCGTAGATCGCCGGGATGACCGTCGCAGCGGCTATCTGGGCCTCTGCTTCAAGGTCTGCGGGGGAGCGATGGTCTGCGTCGTTTGCGTTTGCGTTTGCATTGGCGTTTGCATCTGTGGTGGGGGTTTGCGGGTCATTGCGGACACGCGATGGGTGCAATCCGGCCAGAAACAAAATTAGCAGGACTAGGCAGTCCTTGCCGCCGTTGTAGGAGAGAGAGAGTTCAGAGAGCTTGTATCGCTGCAGCGCGGTGCTGACTACCTCTAGCGAGATCCGCGTTTGCCGTTGAACCGAGGCTAGCAGCGTATCCGGGGCGTGGGGTTCGTTTAGGAAGGCTTGCACGCGGGCGTGAATGCGTGCGATCACGGTTGGGAGAGGGGGGATAGTTTCGTCGTTGGTTGAATCATTCGAGGGTTGTTTCTTGGTGTGTGCTGTTCCATTCTGATTCGGCTCGGGTTCTTTATTGGTTGGGTTTGATGTTTTCAATGGCTGGGATGTTGTTGGTGACAATGGTGGGAACGGTTTGAGGTGGTCTTGCGGCCGGAAAGGCGCAGCCTTTGCTGTCGGTTCAGTCATGCTGTTGAGGTTTGAGGTTGACAGAGCGAGGTTCGGGGCGGGGTGTGGGTTTCGGGGAGACACAGCTTAATCCACTGCGGGGATACAACGCCTGTCAAGTTTAGATGCAGATATATCTATGTACACACACCTAGGTAGTAGTTGAAGCTCCCCAGATATATCAGGTATAAAGAAAATGGCAACTCGGAACCCCCGCGTTTCCCCCGCGGTTGCTCGGTTTCTCGGTGGAACTCGGTAGATTCTCGTGGATCACGTCCATGTCGTGAATGACGGCACATGGTTTCTTTTGGACTTCTAATTCTTGATACAATTCACCCAATGCACTTTGAAAGATGCTTCATTGCGGCCGTAGCCATGACAACTCATAAGTAGATTCCCAAACTCCCGTAACGCTCAGAAGAGAAAAAAAAAGTTCAAATCAGCCCAACACCTTCATCTTCTTTTTCTTCTTCTTCTCATCACCACCAGGTTTGCGACCCTTCTGGAAATCACGCCAGCTACCAATCCGCTCGTCCCGCGTATCCTCCCACTTTTTGTCATTTTCGCGCTTCCGCTTGCGCGCCTCAAGCTCTTCCTCTTCCTTGCGTTGCTCACGACCTTCCTCCTGCAAGCGCGCCTTGAGCTGTCGCCGGCGTCGCGCTTCTTCTTCCAGTAGCACCTGGACCGTCTTCTTGCGCCACTCGACCTTAAACTCTTCAGTCTTGAGCTCGGGAGAGTCGAGTGTGTACTTGTGTTCGCGGATCAAGAGGCGGCGCGCGTCGGAGATACACTCATCCAGGTATTCGCGTTGCTTCTCGTCTAAAAGAGCTGTCTGTGCCTTTTTGAGACGATCGAAGGCATCGGGAGCAGCGGGGTTCTTGGTTTTGTCGGGGTGGATCAGGAGTGAGATCTTGCGGTACTGGACTTTGATGTCTTTTTCTGTAACACCGGGCTGGAGGTCCAGGACGGCGTAGCTGTTGCACGTTAGTATCTGTAGAATATATAGAGAGAGGTGATTATCCATTGCATAGCTGGAGGTAGATTGGACTTACGAATCGAGGCTGAATGCCTTGCGAATGCGATCGATCTCGACATCCTGTGTGTCGCGTGTCAGTCAGAATATAGATGTATATCGTGTAGAGGGATACATACCTTGTTAAACTCAGTGGCTTCTTTCTCCAGAGAGTCGAGGAAATCCTGATCGTCGTCCGACATATTGCCTGCCTTCTGCAACTTTTGAGGTAGAAAGATGTTCTCGGCGCTCATGAGAAGATCTATCCATGGATAAGACCGCGGAGCCCGCGCGGGCTTATCAGTCGCTGAGTCAGCGATAAATCGCGCGCTGCGCCGCGGTTAAGCACTAGCAGCAACATGTAAGAGATTAATGGCTCTTCAATTGGCAAAGACTTTGATAGATAGAACATATAGTAAACAAAATCAGACAGTCCATCAAAAAAGAGACAACAAATAAGTCGAAGACATCAAAAGATCTACTTTTTATAGATGTCTTATGTACCTGACTAGCTCCTTACCGCCTTACCTACCGCCTTCGTTTTTCGCTCCCAAGAAGAAAAAAAAAGATGTTTTTCACCGCCCGCTAACTTTCAAGATTCAACTCAAACCACATCATGGCGCCGCGAGCAGTTAAAGGGAAGTCAAAGACTCACCAGGATACAGGAAGGGTCTTAAAGCGAAAGCGTGGTGAGGATAACCTAGCTACGCTTGTCAAACAGGTTGAGGATCTCGACCTCAAAATCCCCATCAAAAACTTCTCCGATCTCCCACTCTCCGAACCAACATCTAAAGGCCTCTCTGCATCTCATTTCAAAACCCTTACCGATATCCAATCGCGTGCTATCAATCATGCATTCAAGGGACGCGATATCCTCGGTGCTGCCAAAACCGGTAGCGGAAAGACACTCGCCTTTCTAGTACCTATTCTCGAGAACCTCTATCGCAAGAAGTGGACTGAGTTGGATGGTCTCGGCGCACTCGTTCTTTCGCCTACCCGTGAACTAGCGATTCAGATTTTCGAGGTGCTGCGCAAGATTGGCAGATACCACAATTTCTCTGCTGGATTGGTTATTGGTGGAAAGAGTCTGCGCGAGGAACAGGATCGCCTGGGACGGATGAACATTTTGGTTTGCACACCCGGCCGCATGTTGCAACATTTGGATCAGACTGCTATGTTTGAGACGAATAACCTGCAGATGCTGATTCTGGACGAAGCCGATCGTATCATGGATATGGGGTTCCAGAAGACCGTGGATGCTATCCTCGATCATCTCCCAAAACAGCGCCAGACTATGCTATTCAGTGCCACGCAGACCAAGAAGGTCGGTGATTTGGCTCGTTTGAGTCTGCAGGATCCTGAGTACGTCTCAGTCCATGAAGCCGCCGCCTCCGCCACCCCCTCAACTCTCCAGCAACACTACACCATTACTCCACTCCCGCAGAAGCTTGATACCCTTTGGAGTTTCATTCGCAGCAATCTCAAATCTAAGACAGTGGTCTTTTTGTCATCGGGCAAGCAAGTTCGATACGTATACGAATCTCTAAGACAATTGCAGCCTGGTATTTCCTTGCTCCATTTGCACGGGCGGCAGAAGCAGGGAGGAAGACTGGATATCACCACGAAGTTCTCTCAGGCTCAACACGCTGTTCTTTTCGCCACAGATGTCGTTGCTCGTGGTCTGGATTTCCCCGCTGTCGATTGGGTTATCCAAATGGACTGTCCCGAAGACGCCGATACCTATATTCATCGTGTTGGACGGACGGCCCGTTACGAGCGTGTTGGTCGTGCTGTGCTTTTCCTAGATCCTAGCGAGGAGAAGGGATTCCTCAAGCAGCTTGAGCACAAGAAAGTGCCCATTGAGAAGATCAACATCAAGTCGAACAAGCAGCAGAGTGTCAAGAACCAACTGCAAAACATGTGTTTCAAGGATCCAGAACTGAAATATCTGGGCCAGAAAGCTTTCATCTCCTACTGCAAGTCGATTTACGTGCAAAAGGACAAGGAGACATTTAACATCAAGGAGCTTCCGTTAGAAGAGTATGCAGCCAGTCTGGGTCTTCCCGGTGCTCCGCGTATCAAGTTCATCAAGGGTGACGATGCGAAGGAGCGCAAGAACGAATCCTGGAGAATGGCACACATGTCCAGTGATGACGACTCAGACACAGAGAAGAAGGATAAGAAGGACGAAAAGGAGGTGCGGACACGGTACGACCGTATGTTTGAGCGACGCAACCAGGGTGTACTGTCGGAGCACTACTCGAAGCTCATCGACGACGAGGGCACGATGGTGGCTACCGGCGCCCCCAAGGACGCTGGTGCAAATGTCGACGACGAGGCCGACGAGGATGCCGACTTCCTGTCAGTCAAGCGCAGATTCGCCGCAGGCGACGCAGATCTCGGCGAGAAGAGCGACTCTTCCGACTCGGAGGATTCCGATGCCGAGACAAAGACCAAAGACGCCAGGGGTGTCAAGATGGTGCACTTGGATGGTCAGGATCCACTACTCATCGACTCAAAGCGACGCGAGAAGCTGCTCAAGTCGAAGAAGAAGCTCCTCAAGTTCAAGGGCAAGGGTACAAAATTGGTCTACGACGACGAGGGCAATGCCCACGAAGTGTACGAAATGGAAGACGAAGACATGTTCAAGGCCCGCGGCGATGCCGATACCCAGCGCGAGAAGTTCCTCCAAGCGGAAACGGAGCGCACACAACAGGCCGATATCGAGGACAAGGAGGTTATGCGCGAGAAGCGACGCGAGAAAAAGGAGAAGCGCAAGGCGCGCGAGCGTGCGGAGGCCGAGGCCGAGATGTCGGAGGAGGAAGGCGGTTTCTCGCACCTCCCCCATGTTCCTTTCGAGATACCCGGCTCCGATTCAGACTCTGCCTCCGAGCGCGAACCCCGACCCAGCAAGAAGCAGCGTGTCTCTTTTGCGGAGCCGGACAGCGACGACGAGCCCAAGAGCAAGAAGAGCCAAGCTTCTGCCAAGCCTATCGAAACTCTGGCAGATCTGGAGGCTTTGGCCAGTGGATTGCTTGGTTAATGTACATTTTCATGGCTACATGGGTTTGTGAGGTTTTTCTATAGCGTATGTTTTCTCTCCAAAAGAAATCTCTTCCCGAGGTTTAAAAGCATAGTGAATATGAAAGCGAATAATTCATACATAACCTCCATAGAAAGTAGATATGTCTAAATAAGCTCTAAAAGCCACCTAATTAAGAATGTAGCTATAAACCTTACCTTAAACGTAGAAACGTATAAAACTATACCAGCCTACTTTGTACTAAATACTTAACCTCTATAAAATTCCATTCAAAAGCCCATCAAATCAGCCAACAGCTTGTGGAGACAGACATTTCCTTGACACATCAACGTTGCATTTGTATGGCTAAGGCCCCTCTCCACTCATCAATGGCCTCAAGCACGCCATCGCCAGAATCAAAGTAAATTTTCTGGGATTTTTGTTTGATGTCTATCTTTATTTCTGATCACGGTGTGATAATTTAGTGTTACGGAGTACCAAGAAACCGTTAAGGGTTGCCACGTTTATACGTGTGGAGTCACGAGACTTAGGGCTGGAACACCTTACATACGACAGGTAAGTGACATTGGATTCGACCTTTCTTTATTTTATACGATATATTATACTAACATCAAGTTAGTGGATACTTCCTGTATCCATCATCTCCACATCATGGCCGACATTGAGAAATCGGCAGAGTCTAAGGCTCCAGGTACAACAGCCAATGATGTCCAGACAAACCCCATGGTCAATGCAGACAAGCTGGCTCGTCGCTTGTCTGGGCGTCAGGTTCAGATGATCGCTATTGGCGGTACCATCGGTACTGGTCTGTTCCTCGGAACGGGGTCGTCACTCGCCAAGGGCGGCCCTGCTTCAATGCTTATTGCATATGCTGTCTGTGGTGCTATTGTCTTTATAACTATGCTGTGTCTCGGTGAGATGGCGGCGTTTATGCCTGTTGCTGGTTCTTTCTGTACTTATGCTGGGTGAGTGTTGCTTAAGTTTGTTTGAACTGGATGATTATTGACTTCTTGTTTTATAGTCGCTTCGTGGATGATGCGCTTGGATTCGCATTGACTTGGAATTACTGGTTTAATGATGCTGTTTCTACTGCATCAGATATCATCGCTTTACAGCTTTTGTTGCAGTATTGGACGGATAACTTCCCAGGTTGGGCAATCAGTTTAATCTTCTTGGTTGTTGTCATTGCATTGAACGTCTTATCTGTGAAGGTTTATGGCGAGGTATGTGAAAACAACATCCCCTATATTGCACCTTATCTAACTGTTCCTGTCTAGATTGAATATTGGTTGAGTTTACTCAAAGTCATCACCATCATTGTGAGTGCCATCCCTTAAAAAAAAAACACACGCATGCCCAGCTAACTCGCATTTCAGATCTTCATCATTCTCGGAATTGCTGTGAATTGCGGCGGAAATACAGACCACGAATATATCGGTGGCAGAAACTGGAATAAAGGCGATGCACCCTTCGTCGGTGGAATCGGCGGCTTTGCATCAGTATTCGTGACAGCCTCCTTCGCATAGTATGTAAACCAATCTCAATATTCTCAACATTGCTTCTGTCAAACGGACTCCATTCTAACAATCAAACAGCGGCGGCACCGAATCCATCGCTATTACAGCAGGCGAAACCAAAAGCCCCGCAAAAACAATGCCAAAAGTCGTCCGCAACGTCTTCTGGCGTATTCTCCTTTTCTACCTCCTCTCAATCCTCATTGTCGGCCTCAATGTCCCATATGACTACCCAGGCCTCTCAGAAGGCGACACAAAGACCAGTCCTTTCACAATCGTCTTCCAGCAAGCTGGCTCCGCCGTTGCTGGCAGCTTCATCAACGCTGTCATCATGACTTCCGTCATCTCAGCTGCAAACCATGCCCTCTTCGCCGGATCTCGGCTTCTGTTCACTCTCGCTGTCGAAGGTTATGCGCCCAAATTCTTTGGTCACCTCAACCGTTTCCATGTTCCGTGGGTGGCTGTCCTTGCGACATCCGCGATCAGCGGTCTCTGCTTCGGAGCCAGCTATATCGGCGCTGGACAGTTGTGGTCCTGGCTTCAAAATATCGTCGGCGTCTCAAACCAGCTCTCGTGGATTTGTATCGGACTTGCTTCTCTGCGGTTCCGCTCGGCGATCAGGGCTCAGGGTATTGAGCATCTCCTTCCCTTTAAGAATTGGACTTACCCATATGGTCCGATCTTTGCGGTTGGACTTAATATTGTTCTTGTTCTGGTTCAAGGGTGGAAGTGCTTCAGTCCGCATTTCAAGGGTGTTGACTTTGTTTCATATTATATTGAGATTCCAGTCATGATTGCCATGTTCCTAGCTTGGAAGCTGTTCAAGAGAACTAGCTTTATTAGAAAGTCTAATATGGATTTGAGCACGGATCGCTACGATCCTTCTCAGGAGGATCAGCCTGGCGGTCTAGTTACAGAGAAGAAGACGGGCATCTGGGGTAAAGCTCAACGGTTTGGGCAGTGGTTATTCTTTTAGTCTTGCTTTTCTTTGTTTTCTTATGATACCTCGTGTCACGTTACTGTCTTACCATACCCTATATATATGTACATATACTTCACGTCTACCATTTCTCACTGACACTGTATGTTCATTTTCTTTCTTTAATGGTAGCGTTGTTCTCTGAGCACTATAATCGCATTATAGAGTATTAAGTTGTATTAGGCTATGCTCAATCTCCAGGCTACCGTATCGACTTAACAAAACAGGAATGAAGAAAATACGTTGAATTGATGAAGCTAACTTTGCTAAACTATTCCTCCAAATAACATGACTAGATTAGCAGAGACTTCAGCATCAGACACTAACGAAACCATTCTGGAACAGCAATTCATCAAAAAATCAGATTCCGTTTCTTCCCCCCTTAAGCTGGATATAACATCTCTTAGCCTAGATATGGCAGCTCTTCTCTTCGACTAAGCCGTTCCGGGGTAAGCCTCCAGCAGATTTTGAAGCTGCGTACCCAGCGGTGCGTAAGCTGTATTAACGCGATCCGCACATGATGTAGCTGCCTCCCCGACTTGAGCTGTATAGTTCTGTATAAATTGTTAGAGCCCGTGCATGTAACCGAGAAAGGTGTAATTATGAATTACCACCAAGGCGTTCTGCGCCTGCAGAATATATCCATGCATCTTCACGGCGTTTTCTCCGTGACCATTCTGCGCGTAGAAATCGCGTCCATCGGCCACGTGGAGGTAGCCGAGCTGTGCTGTAGCAAACTGAATGTGTAGAAAGACAAAGTATGTTAGGGTTTTTATTCATACAGAACGTCAAGGTTCATTCAACTAACCTCTTCATAAGCACTGCAAATCTGGGTCTGCTCATCTGCGGTTGTATTAAAAGTGCACTGCTGCAGATCCTCATTCAAGTGTCTAGTTTGGCCTTCGAAGTTTTTGTAGATGGCCTACGCCAGAGGCGAAGTTAGTTTGCGGGGCCCTTTATAGAGAATATATGGATTTAAGCCTAGGTTCAAACTCACCGCAGCAGGATCAATGTTCTCATTTGAGGAATCGGTTACAGACTGCATCTTCTGCGCATAACGCTCGACAGCAGTTATGGAGTTGATAACATCGTCCGCAGTGCATACGGTCTGGGTCTGGCAAACGGCAAAGCCGATGCAGGTCAAAACGCTCGAGATTGTCATGAAAAGCTTCATGATTGCTTGGATAATCGGCGCCGAAGATAAAGCTTTTGGGAGATTTTACTTTTCAGATCAACAAGATCGTAGTTGAGTGAAGATAAGAATTGACCGCACTATAGTGGCTTTATATATAAGCCATTCCTTAACACAGGAATCGACTATGTCGATGAAGCGGGCGTTTCCTGGTCAAAGAAAAATGCACTCCCATGGCGTTTTTTTGTCGTCATTCAGATCTATCTCGTATGTATGAAGTAAATATCTGAATAGTATTCCGATGTCTCCATCTCCCCATAGACTCAATCGCGGTCCTCCACGGTTGATCCCGATATCAAATTTAAGCCGAAGAAACGAGCATCCCTGTTTTGATTTCAATCCCAGTGTTTATGCAGTGTGAAATATCTTGGCCATTCAAAGCAACTGACAGTTCGAATCCTTGTCGGATGTTGCCAAGCAGATCAAAACTCCCACAACGGGAGTTGCACACCCAGGGCCAGAGTATCCAATGAAATAGTGTATTCGCCTCCATGATCTGTAACGTAGGACTCGGAACTACAGGGGCTCATTTATTTGGCCTTATCTCCCATTGCTATTACTTCACGTTTATTTTCCGGCAATCCCGCCCCACAATCTTCATCGAATGACCCTAGAGTGCAAGCCATCGCCTAGATGGTTCATATAAGTCTCACCTTTGTATTAGCCATCTTCTTCCTGACATCGCAACGATGACCTTGGAAGTAATCCCCCGTTGTGCTGCAGCTTACGTCACTGATTTATGGATCAATTTTCAAGGTTCTTTCACGCCGAGACTACTTCGGATAGGATGATACCACTATGCGTACTCCGTAGAGGATATGGCTTTATTGAAATAGACAAGATTGTCGGATACAGACCCTGGAGCATTGGATTGACAAACTTTTAGAACAATTACTCAAAATACATCATGAAAAGATGAAAAAAACCAGAATATCAGAAAACTAAAAAAAAGAGACTCCGATAGGGGGAATCGAACCCCCGGCTGCCGTGTGAGAGACGGCGATGTTAGCCACTACACCATATCGGATATTGGATGAAAGATGACCTAAACTTTGACACTATTAATTAAATCCAGCATCATTGGATACATTCCCGTGCATGGTTCTATATAATCCCTCCTATCACCCCTTCAACTTCTCACTGTGTTTCCTCTGCCCAGTTTTTCTTTCTCCTCGTCTTCGTCCGTGCGCTGCATGTGAGGCATTTATGCTATTGATCCGGATCACCGAGCTCCGCCACCCCTCGTCAGTTAGAGACTTACCATCTTTGCCCTTTCTATCCTCGTGATTAGGGCTGTGCTCGACATGGAAACCATTCCCGGCCATTTCCGGGTTTTGGCCGTCCAAGTGAAGGCAGGGAGATATAGGAGGAAATTGGGAGATAGAGCGCTTTTGCATTCACATAACGGTACAGGAAAAACTAACATTGGAAAAACTTATACCAAAGGCAGATACAGAGTATAAAAAGAACCATTCGTACGTAAATCCCAAACTTGAAACGATAAGAGTTATAGCACCTGTTCAGTGTCTAGCCCTTTCACCAAACACTTTGATCGTCTGGGTTCAGATGACATGCTGCGTTTGCCATGCAATACTTCGCGTTTCCAGGATCTCTGGACTTCAAATTGGAACAGCTTGACTCCACCATATATAATTCCCAGATGGCTGTCTTCACGGTTAGATTTTTACACGAGTGTGTGATGTGTTGGATGTAGGTAGCTACCAAAGCTAGTAGCTCTTTGCCTTTCAATGCATCTGTTGGTCTTCCAGCATGATCTCCCTACTATACCTGTGATAACAGTCTTCACCCTATCTATATCTTGTCACCACCCAATTGTCACTTGCATGCTATAATTGTTTCCCGCGCCGAGTTCGACACATACGACCATAGGGTGTGGAAAACAGGGCTTCCCGTCCGCTCAGCCGTACTTAAGCCACACGCCGGTGAGTTAGTAGTTGGGTGGGTGACCACCAGCGAATCCTCACTGTTGTATGTTTTTGTCTTTTTACTTCACCGTTGGCTCCTATGTTGCAACTTTATTGACTCAGCCCTAGTGCCGAAGGCCTCGGGGTGGGTAGCTGCCCTATTAGCTTTATCTTCCTGTATTGTTGAATAGCCATCATTAAACAAATAAAGTGATAGGATAAGCGTGTTAGGCGGAGAAACTTGAAAACCCATGCAGACTGTATATAATATATCGAGCAGTGCTAGATAGTGAAAGAGAAGGAGAACAACCCCGGAGAGGAGGAATCCTGCTTTAGCAGAATTTAAATAATAGTTTTTCATATTTCGTTGATCTCACTTCACAGATACATAAACAAATGTCCTTTTGCGAACAACTCAAGATATTTTGTTGTAAACCTGTGTGCAGCGGGTCTCCCCGATTTTGAACGGCAGCTGGAAGCTTTAGAGATGTACTAAAGTTTATCTCGGAGTTAGTATATGGCCGAGGTGGTTGGATCATGGGGTATATAAATTTCTACAATATACAAGTGAAAGGCCGGGACGAACTTTTAGTTTCAGACCACACATCCCGACCACTGCGCCGTGCGGTCGCTTATAATATATCGAATATGGATGTTTTTTACGAATATTGTGCTATACAAAAGAAGAGAATATAGAGTTCGAGCCACCCACCTGGGCATCCAGATGGTTCCATGAATTTTCGCGTGTTGAGATTGATATCACAATGACATTTTTCACCCTCTTTGTTCATAGGTCTGTTTTAGCTTCTGTTGTCTCACTCCTACATGATATCTTCGTTGATCAAATTGGCCCCATCATGGCTGGAGAATCGCCAGACCTCACAATAAAAGAAACGCATACGTTGTGCTACACTTTATCCTCGCACTGCGTATCTTGTGAATGGCAAATCTGCACTGAGTATCTTGGATGGCATTGTATCAAGCCAGTAAGTCCGCAATCAATTAGGCAGAAAAAGCTTCTTCACAAAACTCAACGCCTATAGTATATTTAACCCCAGAGGGAACGCAACTGTCAGACATTTTTGAAGCCGGATCAGAGGAACTCGAAGAAGGGAACGGCACCCCTGACAGCGGCCTTGATGTTATAAAACTTAGCCCTTGGTGGAGTATGGCCAATAAAAAGCCAGCCACAGCTTTCTTCATTCATTCTTGCTGTTGGTCTCTATTGATACGGCATTTTGCAAATGATGAGATCGATCTAGACAGACTTTTTGAAGTCCGCAGGAACAGACCTGCTTCAAGAACAGCGAACTGCTTAAGCGACTTTAACTCGATTTGGTCAAACTTCCAGCATCCACTCCAAAGACCGATTATTCGAGGCATTGGAGATGCCACTAAACAAATTTCAAAGATTCAACGTTTAAACATAGGCGCGAGCAACAATACATTTCCTGGAACTGACTACTTCGGCCTGCTCCCTATGGATATACGACTTGAAATCGCAGCCTACCTTTCTACTGCCGATTTCCTCGACCTTCGGCTTGTATCCCGAGCGATGGTGCCTATTTTCTCGCTACAATCATTCTGGAGGACGAAATTTCGAGTAAATGGAGACTGCGGCTTTCTGGATTGTCTAGCGGATGGACCCCTGAAAGATAAAAACTGGCGGTCAATATACCATTGTACAGCAAGAATTGAAAAATCATATCTCCACCTCTGGTCTATGCGTCGACAGTGGAGAAATAACCGTTGGCTAAGGGACAGGTACTCAATGACACAAGCCCTCAATGGCCAAACTGAGTTTGAAAACAACTCGCTCGGTGAGATAGCCTGGGAAGAGGCTGCAGCAGAGATTCGTTGCGACAGAATGCCAAAATATCAGTGGAATAGTGGGTTTAGGTGCAAATGTCGCCAGAAAGAGCCAATTCCCGTATCATAAACAGTTTCCTTACACGACCTTGTTATAGGATTGACTGTTTTTATCTTGAATGAAGGAACTCCAGCAGGAAAGAGATCTCACATCATTGGTTTTGATCTGATAAGTGCAGATGCGGAAACCCCGAACATCACACTTGGGCATCGGCTACCAGGAAGCCAAGTAACAATCAACTTCTATGGCCAACATCTGCGAGGATTTATAATAATTACCGGTGATAGTGGAATCCGTGGCTTATGCCCAGTCTTCAACAGCGAAACCATCCCAAGTTGGATAGGTGACTCGGAACAAGATGAGATGGGCATGCAAATTATTCTGAAGGATGATGTGAAAGCCATTTCGGCAAAGTTCGATGTAAGTCACTTCCGTCAATCTGAGCCATGCATATACTAACATAAATCAGTATTGCAAGATGATTTCTCTATCCATAGGATAGGGGCACTAGATTTTGGATTACTTTCTGCGGCTAATTTACTGGCATGTGTCTGTGCATAGTCAGTCCCATCTTCTTGTGCAGTTTCGTGTTGTCAATTCTGAGTGGACTTGGCAGGTAGTTTGCCTTTCACTCTTTATTTGTCATTGTTTTGCTGGCTACGTGCAGATTTTGTTTTGTCCCATAGCTTCTAGCTGAATAGGATCGGCCAGTGACGGGAGCGTTGGTGCAATCGCTCACCATTGGTAATGATGCTCGATGCATCTTATGGCATTGTATAGCGTCGTCCACTTTATTAGTCTGAGCGCTGCCGTTATTTAATGAGTCCTTAGGAATCTGTAGCGTAGCAGCTTGGTGGAAAGAAATGTGAAATATCCGATTATATCAAAAGTAGTAACTAGTAAATCCGAAGCCGCTGTATGAGACCAGCTATATCTAATAAGGCAACATATACAAGGTTTAATTTATTGTCGTTTTAGTTGAGATTGTGCATTTAAACTTAGTAGGTTAGGTAGGGTAGCCGACTCGTTTGTGAAATGAATTAAGTCAAAAGATCTGAAGGACAAACAAGACGTGTATTTGTACTTGCAGCGGTATATACATTAGGGACGGAAGATGGAAGGCCTCTGAAGTTCTATAGAGATATATGATCCAATTTCAATGATGCAATCATGATCGACACATTATAAGAGTATCTCACCGGCAAAAGCTTTGGAAATCCCCAACATCTTACATCCTATATTGGCCCCAGCAAGTGTAATTTGAAGCGAGGAAAGCTACTTTGTCTTAATCATAGGGGAAAAACGTGAGTATTCTTACCGTGACCCTGATCCTCCATGTGCGTCTTGTGGAACTGGTCCTGGGCATGAGGAAGTACAAGACGGTAAGTACTACCCAATTGCAACTTGACGATTATATCATAATAGATCACTAAAGATCAACTCAATGCCAGTTCGGGAACTTATCGAAGAATGTTGTGGTGATGAAGAAAGGCATGAATGGTTCAGGGATTGGAATGGCAACTTTTCCAAATCATGCGTTTTTCATAAAGGCTGCTGGAAATTGTTGATACAACATTTCAACAACGGAGTTGTGCCTCTCGATAAATTGTCCAATGTAGTCGAGGAAGCACCTTGGCCACAGTATCGTGCCTGTAAGTCATTTTCTCATTCTTCTTACCAGAATTTTGCGTTCACGAGCAAATTGCTCAATGGGGTCTTTTAGATCACGTAGTCCCAGAACCCTGGACTCCTAGCTCGAGATGCTTTCGATATATCGGATTCCGAGCCGAGGCAAGGACCTTCCCAAAGGCGGCAAAGGTGGAATATGAACATCCTCTGAGGGACGAGGCCCAAGTGAATGACTGCTTTCGTCTCCTTCCACTCGAAATCCGCTTCGAAATCGCCTATCTTCTTTCAACGCCTGAATACCTCAGCTTGAGACTTGCGTCAAAAGCTATGGTTCATATATTTGAATATCAGGAATTTTGGAAAACACGATTTTTGATTCATCGGGAACGAGGATATCTCAACTATCTCTTGGAAGGAGGTTGTGAAGATTGGAGATTAATGTACCACTGCACTAGCAAATCGGGGCGCCTAACCAAGACGCTACGTTTTCGAAGGCTACAGTGGCTTCATAACGAGTGAATTAAAGTTAGATGTATGATGGTTGGAGCTCCAATATCTATATCGTCTGAGAACAATACTCGATTTGATGACCTACTCTGGGATCGAGCTGCTGGAAAAGTCCAATGCGATAGACCTTACAGATTTGATATCGCTACTCCACCTTCACTTGGTAATGACATTTGCACGCGGTGTCGTGCAGTGCATAACCTATCACCACCTCAGACGATCACTATCGCTAGCGAGCTTGTGGAAATCGTTGTCTCCGTTCTTGCTGAAGATGAGCATTCATTTATCACCGGGTTCAAGCTTGTCTACGGCAAAATTTCACCAGGCATGCTTTTAGCTATCAAATTCCTCAAAAGCAGATCAAAATTGATCTTCGCGGTCAATCGTTGGTAGGCTTCGAAGTCTTCGCTGGAGAAGGGGGTATCCAGGCTGTACGTCCAATATTTGACCAAAAATATGGAATATGCCATAGTATCATTGGTAAGTCGAATACGACTTGCAAATCAGTACTGCTTACCCCAGACGGAGAGATAAAAGCCTTTGCTGGAGAGTTTGATGTAAGTCAAACATCGATGTGCTGTTCCGATTCATATGCGCAATTTACTGACTCAATTGTAGCATTGCAGGATGGTAAGGTTTGGAGTAGGTTCATTGCGTCCAAGATCTCAATATGTATCTCAATTAAAGAATTGCTTCATCTCAAACGTTGGCACCGAAAATAAATAAGTACGAGTAATTATAAGCATATTAGCTATAAGGGTCAAAGGGCCAATCAGCAGGCACAAGGCATAGGTAGGTGGTAGACATATTTATTCTCTTTTCCCATAGAGATACCAGACACCATAGATCTGAGCCCTTATGTCCTGTTAGTTGTTAGCAATTAATCTTCTTAAATGGCTATTATAAATTATTACTAGTAATTACGTCTAGCGAGTTAATTCGGCCTGTGTGTCGACTATAGTTGGGTTTGTCTATATGTAGTTGTCCAGCTTCGCTCTTCATGGCTCGTACCCATCGTCTTCCACGCCCAGTTCCATGAACACGAGGCCTATCGGTTTGTCGTCGTTTTGGTCTAACTCAACACAACTAAATTGCCAGGGAAGACCTGTTTGTTGCACGAATTTAGCCATATAGTGGGTGGCCTGCGGATACGACCCCTTCTCCATATACATATGTAGTTGCTTCAAAGTTTCTGGGACGTATTAGATCGTGATACATATAATATCTTTTGCAGATAACTGATACTCGAATACGTAGATAGAGTGATATATTTGAAGTCCTTCACTATCTCACTGTTCTGAAACCGTTCTTTACTCGTGGACAGAATTTCAAGTGAGTAATACGAATGTTAAGTAATAAAATACATGTACAAAGTACTCCGTACGGAGTACGCAGGGGCATAGTGGCCAGGTTTACTTTCGGATTTAATGCAGTGTATTGCGGTCTTAGTGCCTTAGTTTGGCCTTAATTTGGCCTGATGTTGGCCTTCATCCTACCGCCTTTAGACCCTAGGATACAGTGTATTGTCCAAGCTTTCGGCACGGAATAACTAATACGCCGGACTAACATTTTGAACAACTCGATGTCTTCTTTACCACCTCAAAGCATTTAAATGAAGTGAATAGTACTTTCTAGATAGGAAAAATACCGCTCTTTTATTGGTCGAGCCGAAATAGCTGGTTTAACTATATCTACTCCGTACCGTCTCTTTCTTTTCTCTTCTTTACCACCCTCTCCTCAGCTAGCGAGTACGTAGAACTTGATCAGTTTTATATAGATAATATTTGTTTCTAGTCGAGATTGTACCACAAACCCCGCTTTTTAAAAATAAAAAAACATCTTATATTGGATAAGCCGCCAATTCTCTATTTAATACAATAAAAATCAAATCTATTGAGCTTATATTGGTGGAGTATACTAATAAGGCAGTTGTCGAGTTTTGTTCATCACTGGATTCAGGTTCAAACCGCCTAAAAAGCATGCGATGTGTGGATTTGTATGGGAGAAATAGCTTCATATTCATCGGGTTAAATGCTACCTAAGCGAGCCTCTGTAATTGCAATTCAGGTATCTTCGTTTTTTCTGCCATACCAAATTATGGCATTAAGGCACCATGATGCATTAAATCCGAAAGTAAAACTGGCCACTATGCTCCTGCGTAGTAGGTACGGAATAACATATTGTAATATTCTAAAAATAGGCATAGCTATATTGCCCCACGAGGGGCTATGCTACATATATATATGGAGGTCAGCCCTGGAGAGAACACGAAATTACATTAGTTCACTGTTTAATCTGAATTACATTCTACAAGGAGGTGAACCTATCGAAATCGCCACCTTCCTTCCATTTCAATTCAATCTTCATCCCTTGTATTCGTCAATCATTACCAACATAATAATAATAATACCCATCAAGATGGCCCAAGTCCAAGGTCACTGCGACGCCCGGTTTTCCAAGCTACGCAACATGATGCAAGAGTTCATCACATCCGGACAAGATATTGGCGCCAGTCTGTGCATTAATATTAACGGCGAGGAGAACGTGGTGGACCTATGGGGAGGGTACGCCGACGCATCGACCAAGAAACCATGGGAAAAGGATACGGTAGTAAACGTCTTCTCGACCACAAAGCTAGTCACCAACCTGGCGGCGCTAATGCTAATCTCGCGTGGTGTGCTTCGCCCTGAGGACAAGGTGGCTCAACACTGGCCTGAGTTTGCAGCAAACGGGAAGTTTGAGATCACGGTCGGCCAGGTGCTATCCCACACAGCGGGTCTTAGCGCGTGGAAAGAAGATATGACAGTAGAGGATGTATGCGATATCGAGGCGGCAACCGACAAGCTGGTGCGCCAGGCACCGTTGTGGGCTCCTGGAACCGCAATAGGATACCATAGCGTCACGCAGGGATTCCTTGTCGGGGAGCTGGTGCGAAGGAAGACGGGTATGTCAATCGAGGAGTTCGTAGCTGAGGAGATTTGCCGCCCGCTGGGCGACGGGGCGGACTTTCAGCTTGGGTGTCGCAAGGAGGACTGGAATCGGGTGGCCCCGGTCGTCGCTCCACCGGGACCTTCGATCCAGGATATTCTCAGCCAACAAGAGGGATACGATCGGGATTCTATCGTCGCGCGCACGCTCTGTAACCCCACGCCCATAGCCGAGGACGCAAACACTGAGCTATGGCGGTCCTGCGGGCTGGCCTCAGTCAACGGCCACACAAACGCTAGGGCGTTGGTCAAGATCCTGTCCTGTTACTCGCTCGGTGGTACATGTGCTGGAGGAGACCATCGCCTGCTGTCGGCTGAGACAGTAAAACTGGCCCTTAGCGAGCATGCGATTGGGAAGGATCTGGTAACTAGGCGGAGCGGGAGGCGTGGACTTGGGATCTATCTCACTGGACCTGGCTCGGGGAGTGTCGAAGGCAAGCTACCAGATGGCAATGTTGGATGGGGTAGCGGATGGGGGGGTTCAATCGTGGTTATGGATAGCGATAGGAGGCTCACAATCGCATATACCATGAACAGGATGCTGAACGCGGAGCATCCTTCCCCAGGAGCATATATTAAGGCGATTTATGAGGTACTTGGAGTTACCCTATCTGCCTAGGACGAGCTTGATCGAAAAAAAAAAAGCTGCATATTCCTAGGTCTGACAAAGGCAGATAACATCAGCGGTGCAGTTTGAGAAATAGCCGGTCCAGTCTAGCTATGTTAGCCATGATAGCCGGTGTGTCAAGATGGTCCTAGTCAAGCTTCATTTTGGGACTCTCCATGATATGTACCACCTTTTAACCGTATTAAAGGAAAGCTAGCCAGACTATATTAGAGAATATTGGCGGGTTGTAGTCACCATGTGAGTACCTTGAGGTTTCGGCCACTTCTGAGAAGACAGGCTCTTCTATACTTCCTAGATATTTTTACTTTTTTTTATGAAATCAATATGCCAAAACTACTGTAAAAGTAGGATGTATTTCTAAGATGGTATTCACCTAAGAGCAGGTTAGACACTCTAAAGATGTGGTAGTATCATTCTCACAGCCCTATCCCAGTCATGACCCTTGTCGATTTTCAACTGCTAAGCAGATTGATAATTGCCCTGCCAGGAACCCGGAATATACCGGGTTGAGGCTTCTAATTTGCTCATAAGTCTGCAGTCAGGGAAATGGGTCCCACATAGGAGAGCCAGAGAGAATGAGAATGACTAGCGACATTGTACTGTACGTAGTAAAATACTTATAATCAGTGGATGCCGTACAGACCAACATTAATGTATATGGATTGGGGAAATAGGTGAATTGCGTTCGAGTGATCCCTCGAGCTACCTAGGGACATCAGGATAGACAAGATGATTACTACAGTAGTTTGTACACACTTTGCCTGGTTCCTTCTTGATAGTCTTGCATTTCACATTTGTTCCTTGACGCTCGGTGCATTGAACGAACTCGGCCTCTTTCTTACACCCACAGGTATATTGTATATAGTAAGAAGTACACATTATGACACCTGGAAGATGTTAGATATAGGTATTACATTAACCATAGACTTGTGTGTTGACCTTGATTTTTAATCCTCTAGCGATAGACAATTTAGAAAGACCTCACAGGGCGATGGAAAGCAATCAGATGTGATTGAATTTCTAGGCGCTCCGTGTGACGGGTTCGAAAGGGTCAATAAATATGGGATACAGAGTACGGAGTAGAACGAGCAATGTTGTGCTCGATTTGTGGGCTTGCAGGCCTCTATTTATGTATATGCGCTTAAACAGGCTGTAGAATGGAGGGGATGATCACACTCTTAGGCCACCAACATCCGATGCGATCGGTAATTGGCTGGTAGTATACATATTCATATCACATCACATCACTTTTTTAGTTTACTATCCAAAAATTAGATTGATAATCTAGCCCCTTGTTTCATTGGTTGTGTAATTGGCTCCAAGGATGTGAAACAAATATCAAACAATCTACCCTCCAGCGGTTACTCACTCCACAGCGACGTCAACAGATAAAATTCCATTATTCAAGACCAAACAATTCGAATGATTGATTTCGAGAAAATCTAACTTCGTGATATCACTGCTACATGCATATAAGCTGAGATGAATGTTAGTCTCCAGTATGTGATCAATTAGTGGGGACATAGAACGCAGTCCAGGTTTCACTCGGTGAAATCGGCCTGAAAAACAGCAAGCTCTACTTGGATGAATTGCAGGAATACAATACAGCCAGCTATCAGCGCTTGGAAGAAAACACTGTGGATCCTTCATATGCCCAGGTGGATGTAGAGTATTACATGTGTGTTGGTGATGGCTAGGCTCGTGCCTGGTATAGAACTAGACTATTACTTAGGCAAAAATTATGAAGAGGAAAGGAGCTATCTAGATATGAATATAATCAATTAGTTATGTCAGGTTTCCAATTCAAACCGATCAGACTGCCCGTCTGTGGTAAATTCACGTAAATTCATGCAAATTCATATCTCAATCTAACTAACCTGGTATATCCCACATGCAAGTCTATATTCAGCCTGAGAAGCCCTATCTATATGGAAAACGCAAATACCTAAGCCTTAAGGGTATAGACAGCACGACCGCGCGAGTCTGTACCCTTAGACACGATCTCATCACCAGTACTCGAGACAACATGGCGCTTATCCCCGTTGTGCAAAATAATATCCAAATCCTTCCAAGCAGGAGTAAAGGCAGCCTCGTCATGCTCAAACTTGACAAGCACCTTCTCCTCGGTGGAGCTGTAGCTAATCGTGTACGAAGCAGTACCAGGCTGGACTGAGATACCATCATCTTCATACCAAGTGGTAGTAAAGACGGTGCCGTGAGAGGTTCCCTGGGGCGGGAACACTTCGACGCCGCGGTAATCGTCAATATCCTGGACGGCGACCGATGCAGCAGTCTCATCGCCAGGAACACGGGTGTGTACGTTCTTGCCAACGGGAATGGCACCACCGACGCGGGCAATGAGCGCAATGCTCTTCTGCCACTCTGACGAGATCTCGGCCCACTGTCCAGAGGCGAGGTACTGGTAAGGAGAATTCATGTTGACGTAGCCATAGTCGAAGGCGCCGGACTTGCGGGGCAGGTAGACCTTCGCGACGTCGACACCGATGTTGTAGACTCCGCCAACGAGCACGGTCTCACCGAACCAGAACTGTTCCTCGCCTGCCTTGATTGCCTTCGTCCATATCTCCGGATCGGACTCGTAGCCCCAACCAGTCCAGCGCTGCGGCGGTGTCGCGAACTTGTGGCTCTCCAGACCAAGGGAGTAGATATAGGGCATCATTTCGTAGCGACGCTTAATGGTGTCACGGACCTGGGGCGTGATCTCTGGGTACATGAAGGGCTCGATGACGTCGCCGACTGAAGAGTCCTTAGGGGAAGTCTTGAAGCAGTTGATTGCGAAGCGGGGAGCATGGCAGCCGATCTGGATCCAGCGGAGGAGGAGCTCGGGGGAAGGCTGGGGGCCTTCAAATCCACCGATATCGTGGCCTTCGCATTGGAGAAGGGACATTCCGGCGTTAAGAGATAGGGCATTGGCGCCCTTCATGTTCTCCCAACTGGTGACATTATCACCACTCCAGGAAGATGCAGCGTAGCGGAGAGTTCCAGCGGTAGCGCTGCGGGTCAGGACGAAGGGACGCAGCTTGGGTTCCATGTCTCGCAGAGCATCGTGGGAAGATTTACCCATGAGCTCAGTGTGGAGGGCACGACCCCAGAGACCGACAGAGTTCTTCACGTTCTTTGCTGCGGCGTCGGCGACGAAGGGCTCATTGAGAGACATAGTCCAGTCATCGGATGGTAGGGTGTATTCGTTGTTGTCGTTCCACATACCATCAATTCCAACCTTTTTGAGACTCTGAACGCCATCGTACCACCACTTGAAGGCCTCAGCTGAGGTGAAATCAATGTGGGCACCGTCACCGCCGGTAGCACCTCCAGCACTCCACAGACGCATATAACCAGGTGCGTTGTCGGCATCCTTGAAGAAGCCACCAGCATCAACAAGCTTCTGGAAGTCAGGGTGAGAAGCCAACAGGAAAGGCTTGATGTTTGTGAGGAGTCGGATACCGTACTGGTGCATCTTGACAATCCAGTCTTGGGGATCCGGGAAGCGCTCCCGGTTCCATGTGAAGACATTGCGAACCTTAGGCTCAGTCTCAGCAATGGAATAGCCCGAACTCATTTGATGAGCTGAGCAGGGAATGCCATGTTGCTTGAGCTTCTCCGCAAACTCCAGAAGGGCCACATGGGCCTTTTGCGGCTCATCTAGCATGGTGTACTTATAGCCACCGGAGATATAGCCGTAAGCCCAGCGGGGCACCAGGATTGGGAAGCCCATCAGCTCAGCATATGAGCGAACCACGTCCTTAAGGGTCTTGCCAACAATGTAGTATTGCTCAATTCCACCATAGTCCTGGCGATACACCTTGAAGTGTCCCCAGAGACCATCGATCTCGGCCCCTACGGACCACAGACCGCGGCTATGAGTAGTGGAGAATATAGCCACACATCCCTCAGCAGAAGCCTTAATCAGGAGCGGGATGTGCTTGTAGAGGGGATCGGTATTGTATACATCATATCCGAAAGAGTCGGTCGCCGAAAGTTGGAATTGACGACCAGTCAAATCCATGGGAGCGGCCTTCTCGCCGAGTCCGACATGGAGGCATTCACGATCATGCACAGAGTAGTTGGCGACACCCTCGCCGTCTGCGACAAAAGACCGCAGCGGCAAATCCTCGTGCAGAGGCTTCTCGGAGCCAGCCCATGAGAGTTTGACCACAGGAGTGTATTCCCAGTTCACGGAAGCAGTGACACCGGCGACATCGATTGTCTTGGAGGAAGGGCCCTCCTTGGCGAGGACATTGACGCCCTGGAGGTTGGTCTCGGGCTTGGTGACACTAGGATAGGGAGGGATGGGGTGCTCTGTGGAGGAGAATGTGGCTCGGAATAGGTTGGGGCGCACAGCCTCGAAGGTAAAATCAAAGGCAGTCTTGCTTTTTGTGCTACTTCGAATGTAGACAGAAGCTTCTTGGTTGGTGGCCTGGGGCACTTGCGAGTAGCCCTTGGGGCAGATTTCTTTTTGAAGCATGATGAATGTGAAAGACAATGCAAATGATTGAGAGGAACTGGAGAGAATACCGGGATATTCCTTGAAATATTCCCTGACATGGTGACATATTTGAATGCGTTGTTGAGCTCCCCTCCCATCTGATCATGTACCCCACGTTTTGTTCCCATGACGCGTTGTAGGTATATAGAATCGGAGATCGGGTACAATCACCGAGGAAGCGGAGACTTGAAGTTGTGAAAGGAGAATTCCCTTCCCGTCTACCCCGTCCACCTCGTCCACCCTCTCATCCTGTTCTGCCCCCGTCCGACATGACTCTGGGATTTTTCCGAAACTGAATTACGGGCCGAATTTTTCCCCCACAAAAGATTGTCGAAGGAACATCCCGGGGCCCCAGATGGTCTTTTCTGCGTAGCTCTCTCGGTTTTGCTCACCGAAATCCGATACTAACTAGTACTGGGCACTTTATTGTGACTCCTCTTCTTCCCGTCGCCCCTCTCACGGCATTTATCTCAGTGAAGTGATTGGATAAAACATTCCCGACGTCGGCCGTGCGGCAAGGAACGTGTCTTGCCGTTTTCTCCAGATCAACTGACTTGAACTGACTCGTTGGACTGAACATACAAAATTCAATCGGCAACTATGCCAAGTGTTAATAAAGGAGGTGTGGCGCTTCGGGGTATTCGGGTTTGATCATCTTGTTCAGGGAATGTAATATACTACTTCCTTCCCCACGGGGTTTTGCATACAAACCTTGGTACCTTATATCCAAGTTCTATCTTCTATTTTCTATCCCCTCTTTCATCTTGACTCATTGCCTTTCTATAAGAATTGGTTACTTCCCATCTTGCCTCTGTGACTGATTAGCCATGTCAGTGCCAATTTCACAGAAGGGCCAGCAGGATGAGTTCGTGGAGACTATTGAGCCCGAAATGTCACAGGCTGTGCCTCATGACAATAGCAAAGGAAGCCAGCCCAAAGGAGATCAAGCTTTGCAGCTCATCGAAGAGGCAGGCCACTCGAACATTCTAACACCAGAGAACAACGCCAAAGTTCTTCGAAAGATCGATTTGCGTTTACTTCCCCTTCTCCTAGGAGTCTACTTCCTCCAGCAACTCGACAAGTCCACCATCTCATATGCCTCGGTTTTTGGAATCGTTGAGAAAGCCCATCTCGTCGGCCAAGAGTACTCCTGGCTAGGAGGTTCGATCTATCTGGCTCAGCTGGTGTTCCAGCCCCTGGTCGCTTACCTTCTGGTTAAAGTGCCCATAGGAAAATTCCTGGCTGTGTCCTGCCTCCTATGGGGTATTGCTTTAACATGCATGACTGCAGCTACAAATTTTAGACAGCTGCTTACTTGCCGAATCTTCCTTGGTGTCTTTGAAGCTGGAATTGGTTCGTTGTCCCCGATCATACCTAAATGTCCCTACTAATGATTTTATCAGCGCCGGCCTTCATTGCAGTCACTCAAATGTGGTACCGGCGTCGAGAGCAGCCCGTGAGATTGAGTTCTTGGTATGCGATGAACGGTGTCGTGAATATGGTGGGTTCTCTTTCATGTCGTTTTTTTGGCAGTTAATCTGATACTGGAGGAAAGTTTGGAAGTTTGATTGCCTTTGGACTAGGTCACATCAGTTCTCCTATATTTGCACCCTACCAGGTGAGTTATAATACAGGTCTTTAGAAATATTATCACCTAACACCCATACTAGATTATCTTTCTCTTCTTCGGTCTAGTTACTGTTGGGTTCTCTGCCGTTATTCTGTAAGATTTGATACTCTTTCCTTTTTATCCGCATCATACTAATTCAGTCCTGTACAGTGTTTTCATGCCCGATTCCCCCGTGTCCGCCAAATTCCTTAAAGAGGAGGACAAACTTCTGTCTATCGAAAGACAGCGAATGAATCAACAAGGTGTTGAGAGCCAAGAATGGAAATGGGATCACGCAAAAGAAGCATGCCTCGACCCCAAATCATGGTTCTGGTTTGCGTTAATGTTCTCGATTTCGTGAGTTGGCCCAGATAAAACGAGTGTGCTAAAGTCACTAATCAAATTCCAGTGTTCCGAGTGGCGGTATTACTACTTTTGGGCCCTTGATTATCAAGTCATTTGGCCTTAGTGAATATGATACCATGCTTTTCAACATCCCATTCGGTGCGGTTCAGCTTGTTGCCACCATGACAGGAGCTTGGCTAGCGACCGTTTGGAAAATGAAGGGTCCAGTCTTAGCATTACTCTGTCTCCCACCCATTGCAGGTTGTGTGATGCTATTACAGATTGCGCATGACGATTCCCACAAGGGAGCTCTACTTGCAGGATACTACATTGTAAGTGCTGAATCAAAACAAAAAGGCTGGGGAAGAGATACTAATCGATTTCTAGATTTCTGTATACCCAGCGATCAGTAAGCGGTTACTTAATTTCAGAATTTGAGCTCAACTAACCATCTCTAGCCCCATTGATATACTCCTGGTCTGCAGGAAACACAGCGGGAGAGACAAAAAAGAAGGTTACTACCTCTATCCTGTATATCGGACAGTGCGCCGGTAATGTATGTAGCGCCCTAATCCCCCACGTCGCGTTTCGTGCTGACATTCTTCCTACTCAGGTCCTTGGACCGAACCTTTATACCACAAACGAAGCACCGCTTTACCGTCGTGGTCTTCTTTCGAAGTAAGTTTATAAATACGGAGAATTTTGTGCTTCAAATATCTAACGCCCGACTAGTCTCGCAATGTTTTGTGTCTTGATGGGTCTGACCGGGTAGGTTTAACCCAATTTCAACTGATCTATCTTTTTGCTAATATTGAATTAGGACAAACATGGCATATCTTTACTTCCTGAACAAGCAGCATGAGAAGAGACGCGTGGCTCTCGGAAAGAGCGCCAAGATTGTAGACCAGTCGATGCAAACCGTTCAAGCTGCCTCGGACGATGCCAAAGAAGATGTACCTCAGCAAGCAGCAGATGATAATGCCTGGAAAGATCTGACTGATTGGCAAAATGAGGACTTTGTTTATGTCTTCTAAGAGTTGGCCAGTTGAGTTAGTCTGTGTTAGTTGGTACATATATAGGACTTGTGATTTTGCTCTATTTAATATGCTACCGTTGTATGAGTCAAATGTAACTTAGATTATATTACATTCAGAATTATACTTGGAAAAAAATGACACCGAAATCTCCTAAAAAATGAATCCTTTTTCTTGATTGAACTCCATAGTTGGGAGCTGGTTGATTGAATAGCCGGGCTCGGAGAAAAAGCCGAACCCCGCGTTTCTCCAGGTTTTTACTTTTCCCCATTCCCGCCAACCCCGAGAATCATTGATACCAGAAAACTGCTCTAAATGGCCGACCAACATGACTGTAATCCGTACAGTACAGTGATAGAGGATGAATCCCTGCATGTTATTCCACCACCAACAGGGAAAAAGCGCATTCCGGTACGTCCCTGAGCCGATTGGGACCTACAACAGCGGACAAGCCCTAACAATGCATGACGTTTTTAATGTATAGAAAGCCTGTAGCGCTTGTCGACAATCGAAGGTCTGTGCTCAAGCCTTCCAATTCTGGATATTGCAAGTGAGCTTTTAGTTAATTATTCCAAGGTAAAATGTGACGGAGAGAGGCCATGTACAAGGTGAGTTATATTTTTCCAATACATATTTACAGCTTAGTAACCGACATTGATGAACCAGGTGCCAAAAATTAGAGAAGCAATGCGTATTCTTCGAAATACCGAAAGACCCCGTCTCAGAGTATGCACTTGTGGTATGTAATTACCAACCAAGGTTGACATTTCCCAGACGGATCGAAAGCGTCGAGTCCGAGGTTCAATATCTCCGAAGACAGCTAGATGAAATACACAACTTGCTTCAACAGAGCCGCTCACAGCCCACGCCAAAATCCCAACTGACACACTCCCCAAGTCACCTCCGTGATCGACAACACCGAGTGCGCCACGAGAGCGCTTGTGGTTCCTCTCATTATCCTCATTCACAGGATCACTCTCAAGAAGGATTTCCAAATATACCCGCCACAAGCTCCGCCGGCTATACAAATGGTCAGCAATACCAAAGGTCTATTCCGGGGTCCATACCAGCCATGTCTCCAAATGAGACCTCGGCTCAGGCTCTCTACGCATCTAAGCAGATAATCACGAGACCGCTCAAGAGAAAACGATCTAGGTTTGAGATTCGAGAGGATCCCATTACCGACTTTATTAACAAAGGACTCATCACCCTTGAATGTGCTGTGTCATACTTCAATACGTACGTATGACCCTTGGGTTATTTAAGCGATTAGTGGTTGTGGCTGACTGACAATATCCCAGTTTCTTTGAAGGATGCGTATGTGCCAACTCTCACTACAGCGCTTCGAATACTCATGTTTTGCAAATCCTATAGGACAGGTATATCCCGATCTTCGACCCTCAATATGACACTTTCGACTCCATTCGATCACGAAGTAGTATTCTTCTCAACGCAATATGTACTATTGGCTGCATGGTTGAAACTAGTGAATCCCCTTCCCAGTTTTATTCATGTGAGACTATATACTAAATATTAAATACTTCTTTTCAGGATCCGGAGGTTCAATGTCCGATCTTCTTCACGCCGAACTCAAGAAATAGATCAATGTCATAATTCAGAACAAGGAATTAAACTGCCTAGAATCAATCCAAGCAATGCTTGTAGTTGCTTGTTATTCTTCGGAACGCTCGCTGATCTTATCCTTTGCCACTCGCATGGCTCTGGACCTAGGATTACACGAGGCCTTTGATGAATTGACCCAGCGGCTTGCCCTTCGGAATGAAGATATGCCTTACGCCTTGCCACATCAGATGTTCGAAGAGGAGAGAGCTCTAATATGGAACGCTCGGACTTGGTTCGGGCTTTTGGTTCTTGAACATATGTAAGATGACCTGTTTTTCATTGAAATTACTATGCTAATGAGATGTAATGTAGATATCGTGTTGATGGAGGAAAACCACCTGGCATTCGGTTAAAGGGGAATTCTCGTCGCTGTCGAGTTTTACTTGGCCACCCATCGTCAACGATTTTGGACTTAAGGTTGTTCTCTCAGGTCGAGGTATGTCGAGTCCCTAAAATAGACTTGAAGGAGAACTAATTAACGATCTTTGCTGTTAGTTAAACATCCTCAGAGGTATGACCAATTCTAGGAATGTGGTTGCAATGCCTAAACTAATGTACTTCTAGCCAATATCAGCGATGCTCTAGGAGGAAATACATCGCTTGATGGGCAAACCATCCCGGACTACGTGCATGATATGAAAATTGAGCTAGACCTGTGGTTCGAGTACATTTTCCAGCTTTGCCGTATCTAAAGAGCTTGCTAACCCTCGACAGTGACTGGCTACGCATTATTGGTATGACTCCAATTTCGATCCACTGAAACTTTCTAACAATTCAAAGAAAGTTGTGTTGCCGCCGCCGAAGAGAAACCGTCTCTACTAGTCGCGCTTAGAGTACAGAAATGCTGGGCAGAGATGATGCTCAACTGTAAAGCACTACGATCCATGGGTGTTCAGAACGTAGCGTAAGTCCTGTTTCGCCCAATGTGCTTCTATTATTGCTAACAACATCAAGTGCGATGTCTACTACTGAAAGAACAATACTCCTCACAGCCAAAGCAAGTGCTCGTCGACACCTCCGCCTCATCATTGTCGATCCAGACTTCTACCTCGCCAAGCTGAAGTACGCAATGGATTTTGTCTGGGCCAAGTGCGCGTTTTCCTTTCTATTGCTTCTCAAATTATCCCGTCTCCTCCCTGAGCGAGATGAGGAGCATCAAGAGCTGCTGGGACAAGGTAATCGACTCGTCGATGAGCTGAGTAAAGCTGGAGCTAGTGGAACTCAGTCCAGAGCTGGGAATATTTATCTTCAGATCTTGAAGGTTAGTATTGAGAAGTACGGGCGCGCATTGATGGAAGCACAGCAACCCAGCTCAGATGGTCCGACGGCTACCTCGCCCTTCTGGGAGTTGTTTGATGCCCAGGCGGATCTTCAGTGGTTTGTGCCTGAGCAGTTTGTCTCAGAGTGGGACTTTCCGGGGCTCAATTTGTTTTATTTCCCTACTGCTTGGCAGGATTTCTTTGGAGATTTTTCGTTGGCTATGTAGGTGGTATATTATTGTCCCCATACGTGGTTCTATAGATTCCCCCTACCACCCTATGACTGTTCGAAGTTCCTTATCCTCAGTCCATGATCTATTAGCGAGGCATATTTACTACATATGTATGCATTCCAGATCCCCGAGCCTTTCGATTGAGTCTTGGAGGGAAAATCAAATTGTTACTTCTTTCCTCTTTAGGAATCCTTTCTATCTTCCTCGGTGGTATTAGAAAGGGTGCATGAGAGAGTCATGTGCCTGAGGCAGCAATTACCTCTGGACAATTCCAAGTACAGAAGAGAAAGCCGGAGCCGAAGGTTTACAAACTTAACAACTATTATACAAACTATATGAGATTCAACCTGGATGACACAATAGGGATGTTTTCAAAACGCTTCAGTATTACCACCTACTTGGATACCAGATCGATTCACTCATATCCCAGGGATTGAATGACGGCGAAACAATTATCAAGGGCCAATTGATCCAACTTGTTCAGCAGTGGAACACAACAGTTGGCATGGATAAAACAACATGCCCGATCATCATTACTAGGCATGATACCGTGCAACAAAAGATAGATAAGCAAAAGCGGGAACAAGGCATGCAGCTCATGGGGGATATTTTGGAAGCCCTTGGGGGTGCAGAGAGTGGTTGGCAAAGCTGGGCCACGATGAGTATGCGCAAATGACGGTTAAATTGGAGATAGTGGGGGACCAGTTCTTGAATCATATAGCCCAGAATTCAGTAGAGAGAGAAGCATAGTGCCAGGTATGTCCGTTCCAAGATCAAGATACCTAAACTCATTTAACATGGAAAACTGAACTTGGCCATATTACCAGGCAGAAGCAAGTCGATGCACTGTTGTAGGTAGGGCATTAGCAAGAGTCAAATGGTCAAGTGGCGTGCCAAGAGAATTGAAATACTTCCCTTTCGCCCCCTGACTTATTTATCCCTGTCATCATCAAATAATATCAATTCCAGCGATGAGCCTTAATATACGATTGTATTCGACTATCCGGCCGTTTAATTACCGTAGAGTATCTATAACCTTTCCGCCAACGCGTGTCTTCTTCCAACCATCAGGCTGCGCCATCCGCGCAGTGAATACCCTCTGCACAGACACCTCCTCGCACTCTGAACATGAACACTTGTTTCGCTATACTAGTGGAAGGTGGCTCTGGGATGAAGAACAACAGCTCCGTGACAGATATAAGACCTTCAATATCACAGAGCTTCAAACACTAGCGGCCAAAGCCATTGGGGCGGATGGCTGTGTTTCAATGAAAAAACTGGCCGAGGGGGGATTTAATAAAGTGTTTCGTCTTCTCATGCATGATGGAAAATCAGTCCTGGTACGTATACCAAATCCAAACGCAGGGCCTTCATTTTATACGACTGCCTCGGAGGTTGCTACAATGGAATTTGTGAGTTGGTTGTGCAAAAATCATCGGAATCGCACACAAGAAACTCATAAATATAACAGGCCCGGATAATTCTGAAAATCCCTGTTCCTCAAATAGTCGGGTGGAGTGCTACTGCCAAAAACCCGGTGGGCTCAGAATACATCATTATGGAGGCGACAGGATCCCAACTTGGGACAGTGTGGGATGAAATGACTCCGGACTTTAAGCTAAAAACTATGAGGGAGGTCGTGTCCATTGAGACCAGGATGCTCTCAATATCATTTTCACAGTAGGTACTTGTTTTATTTGTCTTGGGGCCTCTTTGGGCAGTTACTAATTCTTCTATTAGCTATGGAAGCATATATTTTGCAAGTGATGCAGTGGAGGGTGCTGTTCCTGCGCAGATTATTGACGATGCTCCCGCCGAATTGAAAAATCAAGTCGCGAAGACGTTCATTATTGGACCTACAGTCGACAGAGACTTCTGGAACAAAGAGCGCTCCAATATGGATATATTCCGAGGCCCCTGTATGTCTTACAAGCTTTTTTGGTTGAAAGATTTTACTAATATTTTCTAGGGTCAAACCCAGGAGATTATGCTCTAAGTATTGCTTCCCGCGAAATGGCATGGATCGAACAGCACGCGACCCCAAAATCGCCGGATGATCCTCCTTTGGCCTCTTCCGCCCAAAATAGCCCACAGGCGCATTCGGATCTTCTAGGAAGATACACTAAGGTAGCCCCTTTCCTTATGGGCTTCGATAAAACTCTGACCCGCTCCACGTTATGGCATACGGATCTTCACACGTCCAATATTTTCGTGGATAATGGTCATATCACAGCCATCATTGACTGGCAAGGTACATGGGCCGGGCCACTTCTTATCCAAGCACGACCCTCTCCGCTTGTCGACTATCAAGGGGGCACAATACTGAAGCGTCCGGAAAATTTCGACGAGCTTGATACTAAAGAACAAGCTCGGATCAAACAGAAAATTCTCAAGTCCACTCTTCTTCAGCTTTATCTCATGGAGACCGAAGAACGCAATCCGGTACTGGCAAAAGCATATAACTTGGACCATGGGAAAACAAGGCGTCTACCTATCGAACTAGCTGGGAATACTTGGGATGATGATATCGTACCCTTCCGGGAAGCGCTTATCAATATAGAAAGGTAATCAATCTATAACTCTCCTATCAATGATACCTGACCGTCCTTCTAGGTACTGCAAAGAGCTGGGTATAGAAGGAGACTGCCCAATCCATTTTACTGAGGATGAGTTGCAGAGTCATTTGGTTGATGCCGAGGGTTGGAATGAGGTTCAGGGATTTTTTGACGGCATTGAGGATCTTCTGAAGAGAGATGGCTGGACGCATCATGATACCTTTGATGCTGCATTGACTCTTTTTTTCTGATCTTAGGGAAGTGGGTCTCAAGAACATGAAGGGGAGAGAGAAGACTTTGAAAAAGAGACGCGCTGGGTGAAAGAGAAAAGCTGAACCCTTGAGTCTTGGACTTGATGTTGACTTTGATATGTGTTGCAGCCCTTTGTTTTCCAGTGGTGCTTTTTCGCCAACGTTATTTTCGTCGCCAGTGGGTGTGTTGGTGTTCAGCTGATACAATCGGCAGCCAGAGGTCCAGTATTTTCGTCGCTCAAGGTTTGCTGGCTACATAGTTATGGGTTAAATTAGCAAGGAGATTGAGTGACGAAGACAGGAGGAGAGAAAAATCATGAATTAATTGCTAGAGAGAAACAGAAAAAGGAAGAGAAATCAGGAAAGGAGCAGGGTCGTATCCGCCTGAGGCAGCACCCTATCCCACCACATGTTCCAAGGTTATATATGGCAATTTTACACATTTTCACACATGAACTTGTTGGTTTGTTGCTAATGTTCTCTGTTAGTTATTGTTGGATATCTGGATGTTGCTTATTTTAGGGCTGGATGTTAGCATTATTTTGTGTTTAAGCTGTTTTTCAATTAAATGGTTCACATAGTAGGGTAAAATGTCAATGATATATATTATCTCAAACCCACCATGAGAACGACGTTGAAGATAATTACTTCCGACCACACTTTGTTATAAACACACTCGTTACAGTTAGTCTTTTACCGTCGCTCGTCCTGGAATTTACGGCAGCAAGTCATATATGTATTTTTGATACTAGACAAGTACTTGGATCTTAAACCATCTGAATGCTAAAGCAATACTTGAATTCAGATAGATTAGAATATAAATTAAAAAATATGTTCCAATACCATAACAAGCACTAATGGTGTAGTGGTAACATATAACACTTCCAAGTAGTCACCTGACTACTAAGTTATGTTGTGCCGGGGGTTCGATTCCCTCTTAGTGCATTTTTTGATATTTTTATTTTGCTCTATGATGATATCACTATCTAATCTAGTATCGTGAATGGAATATGTGAGTTAACGCTAGTATGAATAGGAGAAGTGGTGTTTTTGTTCCTACATGTGTATATACATACATAGGCATACATGTACAGACTTCGAAGTACAAGTGGACACAACGTCAACATAAACAGTCAACCCAAGTTGACAATGACATTTCGTATCCAAAGAGCCAGAAAGAAATTAGAATGGAACAAACACCAATGTAAGATCATCCCCATATCCACGAAACGCCGTGCCATGATATGTCTTAAGAGACCAAAAATCGCGCATCAACTATAGGGGGTAGTCGCGAGAAGGGGAATCAGTCGGAGAAGATAGACAAATGAGATGAGAGATATGACAAATAGACAAAGGACAAATGAGAAGACAAAAGAGATCCTCAATCAACCACCTTTCATTTCGTCCAGTAGAGACAAGCAAATCCAAAAGCTATCGCGAGATGGGATATGATAAATGCAATTGAAGCAAAACAAGGAAACAATGCGGATGGGATATCCTGGCACATAAACATAGGGAAAAAAAAAATAAAGAAAAAAGAAAAACACCGTCAAATGAGAACATATACTTTTTGATGTCCTGCACTTTGGAAGAAAACAAACAAAGCAAAACGAGACATGGGAAATGAGATTAAGCTGACAAAACGATGAAACTAAGATTGTCCGTCGAATCATTTTCTCGGTGCTCGCACCGGCAAAGAGTTGCAAACAGCGCGATGATTAGTCCCCGTAGACCTTGCTACAGGGGATCCGAGAGTGTGGTTATACAATACAGGGAGGGACTCCAGCCTCCGATTGATATCAGTACCAGGTTGCAGATGGGGTTGAAAGCAGTTGCAGGTGGTTTGAGAGCAATTCCCGAATCAGCCGTTGACCATATCATCTAAAGCCATCCTACGCCGTTTCATAGGTCTGTTGTCGTGACTTTCAGCTTCGGTGCTAGGTGGATCAGCTCTCGTCATAGAAGGTGAGCTGCCAATTGTTATCTGGATCGGGGATGGCAATTCCACTGGCCCAAGATGACGGGGTATGGGGTCCATGGTTGCGCTTGTTATGGAGGAAGAGCGTTGGTGGGGGATGGAGTAGTTGAAGGCCGGACCTGCAGATCTCTGGGGAGGTAGAGCGCGGGGGTCGTGGTGGGCTTCTTCTCGGCCTGGGAAACTCCAATTCATTGGGTATGGGTCGCTCAGCCGATGGACGTGGTGAGAAGGGGGTTGTGGCCCGGCCGTGGCCTGGTGGATTGGGGGGAGCCGGACTGGGGATTCGATGTTATATGGGTCCCGAGGTGATAGTGATACTCGTGGATCATTTGCTGGTGGGCGGACAGGATTGCCGAGCGTCTCAGTATACGGTAGGAAGGGTATACTAACTGGTGGCGGCTGATGTTGGGGAGGTGATGTTGGTGGTGGTAATGCTGGGACACCGTATGTTGGGAATCGCCGCTCCATACCACCAGACATGGTGTTAATTTTTAGGGCTGGATTGAAACCGCCTGTCATTGGCATATATGCTGATGATACATGTGAATTCGTCGGTACCGAATGAGATGCCGGTCCAGATGAAGAGAATGGGCGTCGAATCATACCCCCCGGGACCGTGGGGGAGGGATCCATAGGCCGCGTCAAAGGAAATACCGAAGCGGACCACCGATGCGGTGTCCGTACCCCGGAGCTTACATCGCCCAATCCCTGTAAATCCGTCATGGGCCGTAGTTCCCGTGAAGACGTGGCCCGATGCATAGTGGTCCGCCGCGGAGGCATGGTTGGTTGGGCCTCTGCTGGGATAGTTGGGTTATCCAAATGTGTGGTATAGGACCTGAGAGACGAATCCTCTGCTTTCAACGGGGGTCGTCCTCGCTTTTTATGCGTGACATCCACACACGTTGACTTTTACCCGTTCGTTAGTTGCGATTCCAATGGCTCATGGGAATTTTTTTTTTTTAAACTTACGGCTTTTCCTGCAAGCACACATCTTCGACATGGACGAGCCGGGTCACATCCTAAATGCTTTTTCTTGCAATTCACACAAGCCGATGCCACGTGGGCCTTTGTACGTCGGGTTGATTTTTGTGCCAATGAGCGACCTGCGGGATGCGCTGAGTCCGGTGCTGAAGGTGGACATGAGAGCACTCCTGGTGGTCGTGGAGATCCAGCATATACCGGTCCCTGTTCGTTATATCCCAACCGTGGCGGTGGCTCATTAACCGGTATTTGCGATAGCTCCAATGCGGGTATGGACCGCTCAGCCGCGCCTACGGAAGAGGAAGGATATCCCCGAGGCTTCTCTGCAGATGGCTCCGAGGGTTTTGCTGGAGGAGATCCAGACATAGATTGATGGGTTATAGGAGCCCGGGGGCTACACCCTCGAGCATTGGTGGTCCAAGATCGATTCAACGGCAGCCGCTCTGGGCCCTGGTTGAATCGGGGTTGTCCGAACTGGGAGATAGTGAGGCTCGGGGGATGAAGCACGAGTGATTGCATCGGGGTGTCACGCAAAGGAAAGGAAAGGGCCCACAGGACAAATGCTTCTTTTTTTCTCTCTCTCTTTTCCTTTTTTCTTTTTTCCCCCAAGCTGTTTTGCGTCTAGATCTTTGTTCAAATTCACAAGCAGGGACCGCTAGTTTTCGCGGTACTTTGGGGTAGCATATCTGTGTAATAGATCTGGGAATGCCTAAGGAGAAAAGAAAGCGCAGCGGTGTAGAGATGAATAGAAACAAGATCCATCAAGGTCTTCCAATGCCGTCCAAGGATCCAAGCTTATAATCAATATGGAGAGATCCGCTATTGGAGGAGTCAGAAAATAGACTGCATTGATGGGAGATTTCTAGATGACAGCAGGGCACAGGGTTACTCATACGCATGTCTTCCCAGGGCGACTTATTGCAGGATGGCGATCATCGAGCTAGGATCAAGGTGCAGTAAAATGTCAAAGCACCCCTCCCCACGCCTTACCTCTTGATCACACGTCCCACGTTCCTCGAGGTATTTTGTTAAAGGAGAAGAAAAACGGTGAACTAAACCCGTAAGTGGTTGAATGTAGCCTAAAACAAGGAATTAATAAAAAAAAGCACTTCCCCACTTGTATGTTCTCAAGGCGTTCGATAGTCTAGAAGAACCACTTGACTATCATAAAAAAATATATATACTTAAGTGTAGAAAAGTAGTGGTCAATGCAGCCGCTAGTAACTGATAGATTTGATCTTCGTCAAGGTAGATCATTGGAGAATAATGGGTTTAACGGTGCCCCTCCTTAGATTCTCCTTTTTTTTTGATAGTAAAACTGAAAAAAGAGAATATCTCTTTTACCCCCTCTATTCCCTGTCTCCTCCCTTTTCCCCTCTCCTATTTGGGGGGGGGACTTTCGGGGGTGGCTTGCATTGAACTGACACTGTCAGTGACAGCCAGTGACACCCCAGGAATCAGAATCAGAAAGAGAAGGGATTGAATTCCCACTAGTGAAAGGAGAGTTCTCCCAATTTCTTTATTTATTTATTTTTCTCTTCCCTTTTTCTTTTTCTATTTTTCTTTCCTGTTCGGAGAGGGGCAGTGTATACCAATCAGGACCAAGTAAGGTGGGAAGATTGACGGATCGACGTCGGCGCCCGCAGCCATTGCCAATAGTCGACCTTAGACTAAGGACATGTACTTTACACTTTTTATAATATTATGATCTAGATTCAAATATTGATATAGAGATAGTAAGATGGTATGATAGTAACCTAAATGGTTTTATGCCTTTTGGTGTCTTATAGGGTTACAATCGGGGGTATATATTGGGATTATAATATCAATGGCTCTTTTGACTTATATACTTGATAGTTTTTTAGATATTTTATTTCCCTTATTTAGACGTTAATAGACACAAATCTAAATATTTCGACCAAAAAATATCCTGGTTCAATGATCTCCCATTTAAGCCCTTTTAGACCCTTTTAATCCTCCTAAACACTTTAGAGCCCTTTATAAAAAAAAACCTTTATAAATTCCCTTATTCTCCGACCCA